GGGATAGGGGGGGGGCTCAAATGTTGACAATAGGCAGTGAGGGTTTGTTGAAGTCGGACCACAGGGATAGGGGAGGAGGCAGAGAAAGGGCGGAAAATGCAGATCGTTTAGAGACCGTTGGCTATGCCAACCTTGGAGCTTACAGGAGGTTCTTTTAGGCGTACAAGACCGGCCCTCTCAACCGTTGTTGCTAGCATACACTGAAGCAACCGCTATCCATCTTCTCTCTCTCTCTCCTCCCTTACTCTCCTGGTCCGACTTCAACAAACCCTCACTGCCGCATATGCAGCCATCTATTGTCGACACCCAACCACCCTCCCTATCCTCATGACTAATTTGCATGTAATGACGAACGTAATTGACCGTATATTTACCTTTGACCGCCTTCCCATATAAATGTAATGGTCCGATGAAAATTTATCGAAAGCTTGCATATGCTCGCTGACTGCTCCTCTGAATTCTCTGATAGGAACTTTTGCAACTTTAAAGCAATTGATTTAAGTGTACCTCTGACAAGACTGGACGTTCGTGGAGGAAATTGTTTAGTTTGGCAGAGAGCTGATTGAGGTGTTTGATCGAAAAGAGACAGTGTTCACGGAGGTAATCGATGGCAGCTCGGTCCAGGTGATCGGGAAGGGTGAGTGGTGGCAGAGAAAGGTGACACGGGTGTTTGCGTAGCGCAAACCTAGACGGCAATTGGGGATCCTTTGGGGCATTCGATTGTAACTCTTGCTTAAGAGCAGCCATCTTCTTCAAAAAAGAAGGCGCGACAGCGTACTTCTTAGTGCCGCTCACAGTCGTTTGAAAGTATTTGCTAGCTGCAGCTTTCATCTGGCTCTAAAATTTAAAAAATCTTAATAAACGCACGCTTCAGTATGAAGCATGCAATGGTGCCAGTAGGTGAAAATAAACATGCAGATCTTTGCAAGTGCAAAGGTAAGGAAGATTTTTCATGCACTAGCGGGTGGTGGCGTGAAGACTAAAACAGCCATTTCTGGCTGATTAGCCGTCATCAGCCAGCCATGCCCTAACCCCGAGGTTTGTGTTCCTCTGGCTAGGGGCCTTTGTCCTCAGGTGTGAGGGCATCCGAATCTGGTGGTTATTAGTTCAAAACTCTACGCACTGCGCTACGGACTTTTCAGCCCTTCAATATTGATCGGGAATACTAAATATAGTATCGGGATGCACGCCGATCAGGCTATGGGACCTGCATTTGTGCAAGGGATACGGCAAAAATAGAAAATTGGAGTGAATCCAGGCTACTGAAGGGTTGTAAGTACGATTGTGTTATTAATAACCACCTGTAGGCGGCACCACAACGAA